GGGGGAGCGGGGCCACGCAGCCCTGAGAGCTGGAAGGACCCGTGTGGTAGCAGGGGACATCGGTGTCTCGGGGACTGTGTGGTGGCGGTGCCCTCCCTGCAGCCCTTCCCCACCTCGGGGGGTCAAAGCTGCTTGCAGAGCTGGAGGCGCTCCTGAGTTTTGTTTTTCAAAATGCCGCAAAATTCGTAGCAAAGTTTGTCCAAACTGTTTCTTCCCGGTTCCCACAAGCCCCCAGCGGTGCACAGCATCTGGGCGCACAGCGGGGACCGGCTCCTCCTGATCCATCCCCTAACCCTCTGCAGACCGTGGCTCCCCCAGCCTTGATGGTTTGGGGTCACAGAGGCAGCAGCCATGGAAAAGGAGGAGCGGAAAGCCCCCCAAAACCGTGTCCAAGAGGACCCTCCCTTAGGATGTCAATAGAAACCAAAATGGACCTCAGGGTCCAATTCCAGAAAAAGTAAACCTGAGTTTGGGTGCCACGGTAGGTAGTTGGGGTCCATTTCAAGTCGGCCAAGATGCCTCCAGCCCAGCCCATCACCTGCCAGCAGTCAGAGGGGACCGAGCCTGTCCTGGGAGCAATCCACCCAGCCGAACACGGGTGCTCGGTGGGAGCGGGTGAAGGCTCAGGAAAGGCCCCGTTTGCCTCTGCCGGTGGCAGAGCGCCAGGGCGAGCAGCCAGGGTGGAGACATCCCAGCTGATGTCCAGTGTCCCCAGGGAACGTCACCCACCAAAGGCGCAGCCACCGATGCCACGGGCTCCTGCGAGGGAGGGGCTGCTCAGGTCCTGCCTTAGAGGGAAGCCGAGCGCGGGGGCTTTGGCCGGATGGAGCCAGGGGAAAGGCATAGGTTTGCGGCAGAGGTTTCCCCTCCCTCCCTGACGTCCCTCTCCCATCCATCCTTCAGCTACGGAGGTCCTGATCCGGCCCTCGGTGGAGGTGCGGGAAGGGACAGCCGTCACCCTGACCTGCCTGGGGGCTTGGGGCGCGGCGGAGGAGACCCTCTACACCTGGTACAGGAACAGCAAGCGGCTGCAGGAGAGCTCAGCCCCGACGCTGCACTTCCCCTCCGTCCACGGCGAGGATGCAGGCGCTTTCCAGTGCAGGGTCCAGAGCAGCGACGGCAGCGACACGTCAGCGGCCGTCCCGCTCCGTGTGCTCTGTAAGTGCTGCCGGGGGGTCTCCCCCCACTAACGCCTGGGCCAGCGAGGGGAGTCCCGGGTCTGGGATGGGTGGTCCTGCTGGGAAACCCCTCTGCTGCTCCCACCCCGAGGTTTCCCCCATCACCGCCGAACACGAACAAGGAGCTCTTGGGCAGAAATGTGGAGAGGGCGGAAAATTCCCTTTTGCAGGTAAATCTGTGAATTTTGGGGGAGGAGAAATTTGGAGAATCCCAAAATTCCCAAGAACCAGAGAGTTTCAAAATGTCCTGTGAAATTAAATTCAATTTTCAGAACAAGAAATGATCCCTGTGAAAAATATATTCCGGTTGGATTTTGCCTTCCAAATATTTTCTGTGCTGTAAAATAAAAGTCTTCCCTGATACCAAACCAGGAAGAATACCATTAGGAAATTTCAGTCCTGACCAAGTGGCATTTTTCTGTATTCGTGGTAGGAAATGTGCTTCACAACCGGACCCCAGATGCCCAAACCACTGGGGTCTCTGCAGATCTGCCCCAGGGTTTGGGGTAGGGCTGGACACCTGCACTCGGACCCTGAGCTCAAGCCAGGTGACAACAGAGGTGCCATCAGAGATGCCTGGGGCATGCAGGTCCCTGGCAGAGAGCTGGCAGATGTGGGACCCTGGGGTCTGGCAGCTGGAGGGTCGTGGGATGCCCAAAAGCTGCTCAGGTGGTACTGGAAAGCAGCAATCCCTTGGGTTCTTGGGGTTCTCTCAGCCTCAGGGATCCATAACATTCTCACCAGAGGTGTTTTAACCTTGCAGTCCCACCGAGGCAACCGGTGATGAGCTCCTTCCTGGAGACCCAGGGTGGGCACCTCGGCATCATCCAGTGCACCACTGAGAGTGACCCAGAGGCCAACCTGACCCTATGGAGAGGACAAGAAGTAATAGCCTGCACCTGGGGCTGCCCCGCAGCCCCCAACCCCAGGGTCCACGCCACCTTGTCGTACAACAGCCTGAAGGTGGAGATCCGGGAGGTGGTGCTGGAGGACGAGGGGACCTACGTGTGCTGGGCTGGGAACCCGCAGGGCAACGCCAGCGCGGCTGTGGACTTCAGGGCTGAGAGTGAGTGTGGTGGTGGGGCAATGCACAGGATACAGCCAGATGCTATACATCCCCGCAGCGTCTGGGAAAATCCTGGGAGAGGGGAGGGTGGGGAGGGAATGCCAGGGAAGGAGGCAGGCTCAGGAGGTCAAGGGCGATGGTGGCAGAAGGACAGAATGAGCAGAAAGAGGCCACATGCCCGTGAAATCCAGGGTATCAAACAGCGTCTGTCTCGAAAGAGCTGCCGTGCAGCAGTCGCCTGGTGCTAGGGTGGAGCATGAGCGGGGTTAAAGTGGGGGCTGCTACGGGAGGGGGGTTCCGGCCCCTCCAATGCCTCCAGCCTCTCCTGGTGGGTTTAGAGGGTTCCCCCACGGCCCTAGCAAGGGCACCAGCTCCTGGTGGGGATTCACTGCTGACCCCTGCCCATGCAGGACCAGGGATGCTGAGCAAAACGCTGCTGAGGGGGTTCCTATGGGCCCCCTCCTGCCAGCACATCATCCCTGAGCTGGTGAGGCCCTGGGTGACTGGTACCCCACCGCCAGGCTCCCCCGGGGTGCTGCTCCAGCTCGGAGCTGTCCCCATTGCAGCATTGCAGGATTAGCCTGCATTTGCCTTCTCCTGGAATAGTTGCAAAGTCGTTTGCTAGCTGGCCGGCCCCGGGGAGGGGGGTTGTTCACCCTAACGCTACCGAGGTGGTGCTGGCCGTCCTGGCTGAATTCGTGCCGGAGCCTGTTTGCCTCCTGCCTCTGCTCCTGCCTGTAGCTGCCAGCATCGCAGTGGCTCCGTCCTCCCACGTGCTGGAAGGCCACGCCGCCAACCTGACCTGCCGGCTGAGCAGCGACTCCCCGGCTCTGCCCAACTTCACCTGGTACCAAAATGGGCAGTGGCTCGCCGAGGGCTCGGCCGCCTCCCTGGTGTTTCGGCAAGTGGCCAGCACGGACGCGGGTCTCTACCACTGCAGAGCCACCACCGACGGCAGCAGCCGGAGCTCCCCCGCCATCTCCCTGGACGTGCTGTGTATGTACGGGCTGCTGGGGGACGCTCGGTTTATTATTATATCAGGGTTTGTAGCTTATGTCCGCACAGCTCTGCTCACACTTGTAACTGTGCCCGGGGTCTGGGCAGAGCTGATGCGGGTGCACGTGCAGATCTTTGAGTACATATATATGTCCTGGGGCTTCCTCCTGTGGGCATCTGTCCTTCCGTGCCACCGTCTGCGGTGTCTTTACTTTCCTATTGAGCAAGCACGCACTTAACACGTGCGTGGGCACGTGTGTGTGATCCTGCAGGTGTAAAGCCTGTATATGTTTGAGGGCCACTGTGTGGTATAGCACACCCCGAAAAGCCCATGAGGGTGGCTGCTGTGGCGAGGACAGTGTGGTCACCCTGGGGATGGTGTGGTCCCCCTGGGTCCGGCGGGGTCCTGGCCGGCAGAGACCATTTCCCTTCCCTTCCCTTCCCTTCCTTTCCCTTCCCTTCCCTTCCCTTCCTTTCCCTTCCCTTCCCTTCCCTTCCTTTCCCTTCCCTTCCCTTCCCTTCCTTTCCCTTCCCTTCCCTTCCCTTCCTTTCCCTTCCCTTCCCTTCCCTTCCTTTCCCTTCCCTTCCCTTCCCTTCCTTTCCCTTCCCTTCCCTTCCCTTCCTTTCCCTTCCCTTCCCTTCCCTTCCTTTCCCTTCCCTTCCCTTCCCTTCCTTTCCCTTCCCTTCCCTTCCCTTCCTTTCCCTTCCCTTCCCTTCCCTTCCTTTCCCTTCCCTTCCCTTCCCTTCCTTTCCCTTCCCTTCCCTTCCCTTCCTTTCCCTTCCCTTCCCTTCCCTTCCTTTCCCTTCCCTTCCCTTCCCTTCCTTTCCCTTCCCTTCCCTTCCCTTCCTTTCCCTTCCCTTCCCTTCCCTTCCTTTCCCTTCCCTTCCCTTCCCTTCCTTTCCCTTCCCTTCCCTTCCCTTCCTTTCCCTTCCCTTCCCTTCCCTTCCTTTCCCTTCCCTTCCCTTCCCTTCCTTTCCCTTCCCTTCCCTTCCCTTCCTTTCCCTTCCCTTCCCTTCCCTTCCTTTCCCTTCCCTTCCCTTCCCTTCCTTTCCCTTCCCTTCCCTTCCCTTCCTTTCCCTTCCCTTCCCTTCCCTTCCTTTCCCTTCCCTTCCCTTCCCTTCCTTTCCCTTCCCTTCCCTTCCCTTCCTTTCCCTTCCCTTCCCTTCCCTTCCTTTCCCTTCCCTTCCCTTCCCTTCCTTTCCCTTCCCTTCCCTTCCCTTCCTTTCCCTTCCCTTCCCTTCCCTTCCTTTCCCTTCCCTTCCCTTCCCTTCCTTTCCCTTCCCTTCCCTTCCCTTCCTTTCCCTTCCCTTCCCTTCCCTTCCTTTCCCTTCCCTTCCCTTCCCTTCCTTTCCCTTCCCTTCCCTTCCCTTCCTTTCCCTTCCCTTCCCTTCCCTTCCTTTCCCTTCCCTTCCCTTCCCTTCCTTTCCCTTCCCTTCCCTTCCCTTCCTTTCCCTTCCCTTCCCTTCCCTTCCTTTCCCTTCCCTTCCCTTCCCTTCCTTTCCCTTCCCTTCCCTTCCCTTCCTTTCCCTTCCCTTCCCTTCCCTTCCTTTCCCTTCCCTTCCCTTCCCTTCCTTTCCCTTCCCTTCCCTTCCCTTCCTTTCCCTTCCCTTCCCTTCCCTTCCTTTCCCTTCCCTTCCCTTCCCTTCCTTTCCCTTCCCTTCCCTTCCCTTCCTTTCCCTTCCCTTCCCTTCCCTTCCTTTCCCTTCCCTTCCCTTCCCTTCCTTTCCCTTCCCTTCCCTTCCCTTCCTTTCCCTTCCCTTCCCTTCCCTTCCTTTCCCTTCCCTTCCCTTCCCTTCCTTTCCCTTCCCTTCCCTTCCCTTCCTTTCCCTTCCCTTCCCTTCCCTTCCTTTCCCTTCCCTTCCCTTCCCTTCCTTTCCCTTCCCTTCCCTTCCCTTCCTTTCCCTTCCCTTCCCTTCCCTTCCTTTCCCTTCCCTTCCCTTCCCTTCCTTTCCCTTCCCTTCCCTTCCCTTCCCTTTTGGAAGGCGATGCAGCTGCTGCTTTCCAGGAGATCTCGTGCTGGGGAGCGATAGCTGCACAGCTGCCGTCCTCTGCCCTGCGCAGACCCCCCGCGGGACCCCCAGCTGACGGCGTTCCTGGAGACGGGGAGAGGCCGCCTGGCCATCTTCCAGTGCTTGGTGGCCAGCAACCCTCCCGCCCGGCTGGCCCTGCACCGGGGTGAGGAGCTGGT